TCTCAATGCTTTCACTGTTTCTTATTTCCCTCCCTGTTCTAGCCAGTACTCCTCTAGATAATGTTTGAAACTTTGTATTTTTGTCACCTCTCATGTTATTGCCTCCTTAGGATGAATCACTTTGTTATATTCATTTTTATTTTGCCCTCATTTGACCTTTTTTGTAAGTAAGTGTGTCGTGATTATACTTTGCTTTACACTGTAAAACTCTTATCTTTTACATGTTTTTAAAGACGCGTACAGATGTACATCCATGGCCATTGTGTTGTGTCTTTTGCTGTTTTTCTGAGCATCCTGTCATGAGCACCACATGTTTTAGGTGACATGTCAGGTTAAAAATACTCCAACTTTTCTTGAGACCCCTGCCATCTATTCTTCTGTCTAGGTGTTTTGAACACAAGAACACATCCTTTCATTTTCATTGAATAGACGGTGTCCTACGCATCTGCCTGTCACCATCCAAGTATGCAATTCGTTTTTTGTTTTTGTCTGAAACCACGAGCAAAACGATAGACTTTTTTTTAGGGAGGCTTAAAGGACCAAAACAGTTCATTCTTATATTATTATGCTTTTTGTTATTGCAGTTAGCGTGACCGCTGTCGTGCATTTGATGGAGAGGTGGATGCATGTTAGCGGGAGCGATGTGTGTGCATGTTTTATAAAGCACGTTTGAGCAAGGTGTGTTCGGGTTTGGAGCTGGCATTGACTGAACTACAGCTGGCGCGTTTGGGAGTTGGTATTGATTCATAGGGAATTTGATTGCAAAGTGTGTATGTGTGTGCGCTTGCGGTTGGCAGATTTGCCTGGCAAGCATGCATACTGCAGCACGTCACGGGAATAGTCTGCAGTGTTTGCGCATGCTTATGTGAGAGAATGTATGCACGCTTCCAAGCACTTGTACATATGGGTTTGCGTGCATAAGCGTGTGATGCATAGATAGAGCGTTCGAAAAAGAACAACGTAAGGGCAAAAGTGAAAAGGGCAGTTGCAGGAAGTTGTCTTTTACTCTTTCTGTTCCATTCTGATATCACTAGTATTACTTTCAAGAACAATGAGGTTGATGCTTTTTAGACCTCAGAAAGGAAAGGGTTACCACGGAGACTGCGCATTTACGTTCCCGCTTCCCACAGCTTGGTCCCGAGCCTGTTGCCATGACGACGGCCCTGATTCCAGCCCGCTTGCTTAGGAAAGCATGTGATTCATTGACATTATCCCCATACCTGCCTGCAGTCGCATGCTCTGTCGGGGAGCGCGTGTATGTATGTGTGTGTGTGCGTGTGTCTGCCTGCACATGCGCGCGCTGTTCCACATGTGTACTGCAATGCTAGGCGCAGTTAAAAATAAACGTGCTTTGCGGAATAAGAGGTACAAAGCTAAATGTGTACCAGAAACACAAAGCTCACATACAGCAGTGAATTCTGTTTACTTCATGCATGCTTTTTCCTTTAGGAGGAGGAGAACATTTTTGTTTAATCTGCCCTTTAAAGTCTCGTTGCTTGGGCATTTTATGGTTTCACTAGGGTGAAGAGATTTTTCCGTCTCTTATTTATGATTGTGCACACGTAAATAGGGTTTCAGATGAAGTGAGTGTGAACAGGGATTGAATACATTATAAAGCTCATTCACTTTGTGTCTTAAAATCGCCTGTATTACATGCATTGCCTTGGTTAGGGCATTTTAAAACTTGAGTGCTCTTTAAAAGAGCTGTAAATGGATTAAAAAGTGAACTGAGTGAAAAAGAACCCAGTTAATTTTGCATTCACTCTGTCCTTGGCCTTGAAATTGAAAGTGGACTCAGATCTCTCTCTTTTTTTAAGTACCTTTTAAGTAGGGGTGCTCCGATTGATCGGCTACCGATCACTATCGGCCGATAATCGCGTTGGGATGTTTAATCGACGGTCTCTATAAAGGCTGATCTAAAAAAAATGATCTCAAGCTGATGACGCGCCTGCTGTGTGAGGTTTGGCACGACATGCAGCGGCACCGTCTCAGTCTTTGTCCGGCGTGGGTAAAATAATTATAATGCTGAAGGTGAGGTACAATTCATATTTCTTCATTAAATAATTTATAAAGTAATTTGAAAACTTTCTGTGAGACATAATTTCACAAACAGCGCGAGTGAATGACCACACAAGCTCTTTCTCTCTCTCAAAATGCTCAAATGGCTTCAGATCACATAACGTCTGCACTATAAGTGAGCTGGACACTACACAGGAATTATCACTTGCACAATCGAGGCAGTGTGTTATCGTCACTAAAGTTTATAAATTGCATTTCTTTTTAATTCTTGCCGGGGTTTAAACCATTCAGCGCTCGCGCGCTCTCCTGGAGACATCATGCACACTCAAAGCGCACACACATAATGCCAGGTTCACACATACTCCGTTTGCATTGCGTATGCGGTGCATATTTTTTCCAAGCTCATGTTAACGGATTAAAGCGTGCACACTGCACATGGTTGCGGTCCGGCAGTGCGTTCCAGGAGCCATGCGTCTGCAGCAGTGCAGAGATAGTTTCCGCTGCACACACTGAACTAAAGTGACAGCGCATTGTTTGCGGTAAATATGAACATGGATTGACACGAAAATGTAGTAATTACACCATAAATGCATACAATTAAAGTCTACTGTGTTTCACAGTCAACACATAAGCTATGACTTTTTTCCTATGTTTAAAGGCAAAGAGCACTTTTAGATAAACAAGGCAATAATAGATGGCACTTAAGGAGGTAGGAAAACAAAGTTCTTTATAAACCGCAGGATTGCTTGTAATAAAGATTTAAATGCAAAAGAAAAGGCAGTAGAGCTGAGCTGACTGCTTCTGTCAGTGGTAAGTTTTCATTTAGAATGTTTGTGATAATGTAAGAAAAGTAGTTTAAATGTTTTGCCACTTGCTTGAGCAACTTAATATAAATGTAGAATTAAATGCAAAAGTATTGAATAATGTGTTTCTTATATTTATTGCATTTAAACACGTCTATTAAAGATTTTATTACTGTACTGTGTAAAAAAAGAATCACAATGCTGAAAAAGCATTTTAAGTAACAATGTTTGGATTTGAAAACAAAAGAATGGATAAATGTTGTGTTTGTAGTAAACAGCCACGGATCAGTTGCAGACTCCTGTGTGAAAGCACAGTGAGCACCTGCTGCTTTTGCACCGCTTACATGGACTGCATACGCACTGCAAACAGAGTATGTGTGAACCTCACATTCAGCTCACGAAATCAGGCTTGTGCTGCGTGTAGGCTATTGTGCAACGATTGCACGATTGTCAAAACAAAAATGCAGTGCATGATCAAACATTAAAGAGCAGGTCATATGGTATTTTAAAGTGTCCTAGTATTGTATGGAGTCACCTACAACTGGTTTAAATGCATCTAAGGTCAGAAAACATTGTAATTTTCTCAGAATATACATTTAATATTAGAGTCATTTGCCAATTATTTCGAAACGATTCGTTCTGAGCAAACCCCTCCCTTCCATAAGCCTACTCTGCTCTGATTGGTCAGCTGGCCAAGCCTGTTGTGATTGGCATAGAGAGAAGTCCTTGAGCAAGTTAGCGAGCACTACCATTGACAAAGCACCTTTACATAGAACAATAACATAGTGCTCCAATCCGTTTTTATAATAATGACATAAAATACAAAAACACTTATGCAAGGCGAATCGTGCCCACAGCTAAAGTTTAGCTGCTAAACTGTGAACACTTAAAACAATAATGATGGATTATCGTTAGCCGAGTGCTAAGGTGACTAACTGATGAAACGATACAGTTTGTAAACCAAAATATGTCTACTGTAATGTTTGAAGAACGACAGACAAAAGACGCTCTGTCTTAACTTTTAATCAGAACGCAGAACAGCTGTATCACAGGCGCACCAGCCTAACTAACTCGCTCGTCTCTCCCACATTAACCCTATAACTGGCGGTGCAGCAAAATAAACAGCAATTTCACAATGATTATAAAGTCTGTGTGCTGTACTACATTCCTTATTATTAAAACGAAGTAATTAGAACAATGTCAGTCTACATTAATCGACACATTCTTTGGAAATAGTGGGTTCACAGCAAATTTTCTGAACTACTTCAGTAAGACGCTAGGTGCTTTACCTGGAAATCTAAAGCTGCACTAGGTATACATCACATATTAGCACAAAAACTTGATATTTTGAGCACTCAATTGAAAATGTACACATAACGTATCAATCGTACTTACAGGTTGTGGTTCGGAGAGCTTGTTAGCCCAAATTCAGAAGATTAGAAGCCAATGAAGATAACAACCAAGATTAGAGAAGCAGTCCTTAGTAAAATGACATGCACGCAACAAAAGGTTCGAATTGTATTTCTGTGGTATCCTTGAACACAGCGTCTTCTCAACATGATGTAAACACACTAACTAGCGGAAGTGTTTGTGGGCAGGTCAGACTCTGTTCGTATTTCGCGGGCAGGCGGGGATTATGCAAATGTGTTACCCAGTGACGTATCCCGGTAACAGGCAAAAGATTCGTAAATATGACGACTCGTTAAGGCGATTCAGAATCGACTCTCTTTTGAGAGACAATATCTTTATTTATCATGCACTTTTTTGATTAACAACTTTGCAGATTGTTTTCATTTAAGGATAACTACGTTATAAACTGTAAAAGAGATATTTTTCAAAAACCCGTATGACCTGCTCTTTAAGGTGAGATAGATATATATATTTTTGAAAAATGTGAAAAGTGAAATGAAAGTGCCCAAAACTTTCTTTTTTTTTGATACCCAGCAAACTGGAAACCCATGATGGTTTTAACTGGTCAAATCTGAGCTAGATTAGCTACTCTACGCAGTTTATAATGTGAACGTCTGTTTTATAAAGTTGATTGGTTTTCCAGTGATTTTGGGTTAGTTTAACTATGAATTGAATGTCTGGATGAACAGTCTTAAGTAGTCTGTTTTAAACAACACAAATAATGTTTAAATAAAGAAATGAATTTTAATTCAACTCTTGTTTTTCCAGATGTCTGCCACCCATGTACTAAAGCACACTCCATCCGCTGCTGCCTCAAATGCCTCTGACCAAAACGCACAAACTACATTTCCCATCGGCCTCTTGGGCAAAGAACAGTTACGAATCATTGGAGGGCCGCCCAATCACTGCATGGCTCACCCAAAGCACTCTGGGTTACGGGAGGCGGGACCTGCTGCCAGCAGTCACGGTCTCCGCCCTTTATCAATCAACAGCGAGGAGGACGATGGAGGGGGCGGGACCAGGGTGAAGAAGAAACGAAGGAAAAAAGACAAGAAAGAGTCAGAGTGGCACAAAGATGAAGAGAGCAACACTAAACCAAAGAGAAGGGAGCAAAAGGAAGGGAAGGAGCTTCTTGCGAGAAAGGCAAAGGTGGCGAAGGAACAAAAGGATCATAAGAAGAGGGAGCCAAAAGCCCAAAAAGAGGTCAAAAAAGTCAAGAAAGGTCAAGATGTAAAAGTGAAAACACAGGCCAAGAACACTGCAACACATCCTCCCTCCAAAAGAGGGAGGAAGCCAAAGTGAGTAAAAAAATACAGAATTGTAATTTTTGGGTGAAATATTCCTATAAATGTACAAACACTACCGTTAAAAGGGTTTTTTAGTGTTTTTGAAAGATGTCTGTGATGCTCACCAAGGCAGCATTTATTTAAGAAGAAACGAAGGAAAAAAGACAAGAAAGAGTCAGAGTGGCACAAAGATGAAGAGAGCAACACTAAACCAAAGAGAAGGGAGCAAAAGGAAGGGAAGGAGCTTCTTGCGAGAAAGGCAAAGGTGGCGAAGGAACAAAAGGATCATAAGAAGAGGGAGCCAAAAGCCCAAAAAGAGGTCAAAAAAGTCAAGAAAGGTCAAGATGTAAAAGTGAAAACACAGGCCAAGAACACTGCAACACATCCTCCCTCCAAAAGAGGGAGGAAGCCAAAGTGAGTAAAAAAATACAGAATTGTAATTTTTGGGTGAAATATTCCTATAAATGTACAAACACTACCGTTAAAAGGGTTTTTTTAGTGTTTTTGAAAGATGTCTGTGATGCTCACCAAGGCAGCATTTATTTTATCAAAATTACAGTAAAAACTTTAATATTGTGAAACATTGTTACAATTTAAAATAGCTGTTTTCTATTTTAATATATTTTAAAATGTAAATTATTCCTGAGATGCAAAGCTATATTTTCAGCATCATAGCTGTTTTCTATTTTAATATATTTTAAAATGTAAATTATTCCTGTGATGCAAAGCTATATTTTCAGCATCAATATTCCATTCTTCTGTGTCACATGATCCTTCAGAAATCATTCTAATATGCTAATTTGCTGCTCAAGAAACATTTCAGATTATTATCAGTGTTGAAAACAGTTTGGGAACCATGCTTTCTTTGATGATCATGAAGTTTAAAAAAAACAGCATTCACTGTGAATTTTGATCAATTTAGTGTGTTTTTGCAGAATAATTTCTTTAAAAAAATATTCACTCAGTATTTTGGCCTAACAGTGGAATACTACTGAATATGTGCTTTATAGCAAGACCATAATGGCGGGCATATTTAGCACACTTGGTGCCTCATTTCCTAAGAGATGTCTCAAAGAGAGGGCAAAAATAATTTTAGTTGTTGACTAACAAATGTCGCCTGACCAAAAAAAAGTCTAATTTCAGTAAATTGCATCCTTTGCATGTGACAATTTTGCATGTATTGTCTTGTTTGCTTGTATTGTTCTTGCTAAGCTCAATCACAGACCTTTTCATGTCTTGATTGGGTGAAATGTGATACAGGGATTGTGGGAGTTACAAGGTGAATGTAGGTACTTGTGGGTTTCCAATTTGAAGCCAAGCACACAAATGAAACCTGCAACCACGTGAAGGGCTCTTTGACCTTTTTGGCTATTTTTTCTAGCATATTTGGAGAAGTAAAGATACATTTTATGCATGCATTCAAAAGGTACTCAAATATGTAATTTTCTTCAGGGTTGCATTAAACAGTCCAATGCCACAATGATGGCACTAAATGGCCTTATGAACACAGTTTATGCCAATCATCTTTTGTCATTGGATACATTCCCGTTTTAAACTTCCTTACCCACTTTGTGGTTCCCTCTCAGCACTTGTTTTTCTGAAAGTAAAGCATTGAAATGCAATTTTATTCAAGTGCTGCACTCGAGTAAAAATGTTGTCCTACTTGTGCACTTATAAACCAGTAAACATCTGCACAGCAGATGTCGGTGTTTTGTACCATTATATGGCCAGATATTTATCATTCAAACAAGTCCTTGGGTGGTTAGCGCTAAGATCTGTTAACCTGTGAAAACTGGAGGTAAGATGGATTTTAAGAGCATTTTGTTGCTGTGTTATGCAGAGAGCAGGGTGCCATGCCTCCGGAGAAGAAGAAGAAGGGAAAGAGGAAAAGTGATGCTGTACTTGAGATGGTGGAGAGTGATGACACAACCTCTCTCAGCACGCTCGCCACCGGCGAGGAAAGCATCGACCCTATGGATAACACTGTGAGTTCTCCTGAAACCACCTACATCTGGCATATGGGTTTCTCCTGAGCTGAATAATTGCTGTGTATTTATGCAAATACCAAATCCTAAAGTCCATGTTCAAAGTTCATGTTCAGAGTTCAGGTTCAAAGTTCTGCCAGGTTTAATAGAACTTTCCTAGAAGTATTTCCCTGGTTTTATTCAAGTTGACAGTGGCATGTTAACGATTACCACAAAACTAGGAATGCACAATATAGCTTCCATATCAGTTATCAACCGCTATTGATTTTTGGATGATATAGTATATTTAATTTTAATTTTAATGTCTTTGTCCTGCTATTTTTACGTTTATTTTAATTTTACACTCACTTAGTGTTTACTTATTTAAAATGGTTAAACTTTAACTTTAGAATCTCTCAAAGTGATAAATTTATTGCAGCATTTAAAATAATTTTGAAAATTTGTGTATGTATTTATGTATGTATGAATGCCAGAATTTTCTGTGTCTATTGAAAAAAAAATCAGAAGGAATTAATGTAAATATTCTCACTGTTTTAAAACGTGCGTCCATAAAGAATGAATAAAAATTATTTAAAATCAATAAATAAATGTGTAATAAATTAGTGTGACTTTAAAATTACTGATCTGGCAAAATTAAATCAGTAATCTTTGGATATACATAAAGATTTTTACAAACTAAATAAAAAAAAGTCTAAATAATTTTCTTTCTTTCTTTCTTTCTCTCTTTTTTTTTGCATTATTTTCATAAACACATTTTCCCCATAATTCCATTGAGTAATGGATATTTTTGTTGCCATTAATGTATTTATTCATTTCAAAATTTTTGGTAATTGTTTTGTTAATTTTACTGTAATGTGTAAATACATTTCCTTCTTTCTTTCTTTCTCTGTGCAGAAGAGGCGATCAGGGCGTCAAGTGAAGCGACGGAAGTATAACGAAGATCTTGATTTCAAGGTCGTGGATGATGACGGGGAGACCATCGCTGTGTTGGGCAATGGCCGGTTTGCCGCCATGTCTTCCTCTACCCTCGCCTGGCAGGCTGAGGTAACCGTGACAACATCTGCCATTATGCCACACCACAGACCTGCCCTACTTCTGGAGGGGTGGAGCAAACACACACTGGAATAATGCCCACCTTCTTTCTTCCCAGGAACCCCCTGAAGATGAAGCTAATATCATTGAGAAAATACTCTCAGCGCGAACGGTCAAGAAAGAGGTAACAGTGTCAGATTACATGTTACACTAAATGATGGATTACTTGCTTGCATTCAGGTCCATGATAATTTTGCAAGCTATATAAAATTAAGCAACAATATTTCTTATGTGGCCATGAAATTTCCTATAGAGTGTGTATTTGATTCAGCCTATTTAGAATAGTGGTCGCTCAATATGTGGTGTTCAATTATTGATTCTTAAACCTTGAATATTTAAATTCTTGATTTACACCATGATACAAAAAGACCAGAATACTGGAGACATTTGAATGCAGTACTGTAGCATATACCGCTCTGTACACTGGGATGCAAGGAACATCTGCCTAAAATGAAATCGTTTTCATGTAGACATCCCTTGACGAACCACCAGAAGAGATGGAGGAGTTTTACGTCAAGTTCAGAAATTTGTAAGTGTACTCATGCGACTCAAACTGCTGTTACCTTTTTGCGCTCTCAAACACTCAGCTTGTCAAACTGTCAGAGCAAACACATAACTCACATTTATTGTGTAATGCATTACTTAAAATCATTTATGCATTAAATTATCCATCTGCTAGAGTGGTAGTACACCCTGCCTCAAGGAATAATTTGCTGAATCAGCAATGGTGTGATTTACAGCAAGAACTTTTTCTTGTGTAATTCTGGAAATTACAGTACTGCAAATAGGAACAAGTTACTGGGTCACAATTTAACCTCAATAACAAAAGAAAAATATTAATTGCTTAAAGACATTAAGAAAAATATACCTTGATCATTGATTTTTATTTTCCATTATTTACATGATAATTAAGCATACCCCCCCTTAGACATGTTCTTGACAAGTTTAGTATAGATGGAGAAACAAAGACATATTGTAAACAAAATACTATTTTAAATCAAACACATGCAGGCTAGTTCAAAGGTAAAGCACAGTGTTGTTATCGCACATTGTCAGCTATGAGGCCTTTCTCATTGCCAGCTCCTATCTGCACTGTAAATGGGCGACCTTGGAGGAACTGGAGAAGGACCCACGCATTAGCCAAAAAATGAAGCGCTTCAGAAACAAGCAGGCGCAAATGAAGCACATTTTCACAGAGGTGCGTCTGCCAAAACATGCTGCAATTTGTTTGTGGTTCATTTAAAGTTGTAACCAGGACATGCACCAGATATACTTGGACGTAAAAGCTAAGATGCATGTGGAAAATTCAAGAATTTTGGATTTATGTTTCACCTTTAAATCAATGCTTTTGTCATAGACTGTCTACATATGTATTATTTGATTAAATCTGGATGAGATGATGTTGTGTTTCTCCTCAGCCGGATGAAGATCTGTTTAATCCAGATTATATTGAGGTTGATCGGGTTTTAGAGATCGCTATCACCACAGATACAGAAACTGGAGAGGTGAGGTGCTCTTCAAATGATCTTTAAAAAAAAAAGAAACTAAGAAGCTGTTATATATATACTTTCGGTGCCAGTCTTTTAATGTTTGGTTTGTTTGCATGTTAACAGGAAGTTACACACTACCTGGTGAAGTGGTGCTCTTTGTCATATGAGGAGAGCACTTGGGAGCTTCAAGAAGATGTTGACCCTGTGAAAATCAGAGAGTTTGAAGACCTCAAGGAAATTCCAGAAATCAAGCATGTGGTAAGTCCTTGAATGCAAATGATTGCATGGTTCAGCTGCAGGTTTTATTGTACGGTCCAAAACATTTTTATTCTGCGTTGCTTTGTAGCATGTATTTCAGACTAGGAAAAGAAGTGGCACTTCTCTTATCTTAATACAGGAAAGGCCTCTGCCCGAACAGTGGCAAAAACTGGAGAAGTCAAGAGAATACAGGAATGGGAACCAGCTGCGAGAATACCAGTTAGAGGGAATGAACTGGCTCCTTTTCAACTGGTACAACAGGTGAAACAAACTTTTAATATCAGCACTGGTAGAGTGCCTAAACTTCATGATCTTATTTTAAGGTATGAAGTCACTACTTAAGATTAAACTAAGGCTAATAATAATTATTACAGTGACTAAATGTCTTTTTTATTATTTAAAATTATTAGTAAAATAAGAAATTCTTGGACTTTCTCTGTTTGTTTTATTAATTCATCTTGCATTTAATTTGATGAAAGGACTGTCAATTTCAACATGTTTATTTAGTGTGATCTTTCTTTTGTCTGACACAATGTAATGAATTGTCTTTTGTAGGACATTTGTCTGCACATATTATAATAATTATATAAATCTCAACATTTTAAACATTATAACAAGAATAATAATATGAATCAATATATAATTTGATTAATATATCAGCATGTAAGTAATTTAATAATAATTACTTAAAGGGGTCCTATTATGCTCTTACCATGTCATGCATTTGTTTTGGGGGTGTACTAGAACATGCTCTAATGCTTGGTGGTTCGAAAAATGCATTATTTTTTACATAATTTACATTATTACAATACCTTTCTCCCCATCCTGGCACAAACAGCTCGATTAGTTCCGGGTTTGATGAAGGCCCGCCTTCCGAAAAATGAAATGTGATGTGATTGGTTAGCTGTCCCAGTGCGTTGTGATTGGCGAACAGCTTAGACGGTGTTTCAGTACTTCCCTGCCCCTTGTCAAAGCAGCAAGTTCCGTCTGCTCCGGTTTAGTTAAGGATGGTGTCAATATTGCCATATCAATTTGAGCCGGATTCAGACCCAGAGAATATTGAACAAGAGGATCGATCAGAACCTTTGCACGCACGGATATTGCAAGACGTATTAGAGTGGTAACTTTTTTAGAGTGGATTTTTTAACTAAATCATGTTTTAGATAGGATGTCAACAACTGCTTAAAAGTAACTGCATTTACTATGTACAGATAAATGCACATGTATTATTTTTATTATTTAATTCTAACATTATAACATGAATTGCAGTGAAACTGTTATACAGTTGAATTTATTTATACCATAGTCCAGTGTTTCCCAGGCGGCGTATATATATGCAAACTCATTCTCTGCCAGCAGGAGGCGCTATTGGAGTGGTAGAGATCAAGGTTTCCCCGGTAACGGCTGTACACAAAGCAGTTCCGCTCAAGAAAACACTGCTTTATCAGACATTACATGCAAGATTAAATGAAAATGACATCCAATTTTCTCCAATGGGAAACACTGTAGTCTCATAATTGAAGTGTAAATTCTGTCCAGTATTGTACTGTCAGCAATTTATTATAAAAATGTGTTCATAATTGTAACATACATATTTACATACATAATTATTCAGGTGCATGTGTAATAACTTGCGAAAAGTTGAGGCTACAGCAGCACGTCTTCATCGTCGTCTTGTCTGATGCACTCAACCAAGCGTTCTAACCACGACCTCGCCCCTCACCACCCCCCAACCATTCGAATTTCCGTAGGATTATTTGAATGATATTCTAATGGGCCGCTTTGTGATATCACAAAACCCAGAAAACAAACGCTGTAGTCCAAACGAGCCATTAGTTGTAGTTCTTGAAAAGGGATTTTTTTTTAAACAAAATATCTCCCTTTGGAGTGGACTTTGAGATTTGTAAGATTTGTTTGTGTTTTTTATGCCCAAATATACACACTACACACTGACTAAAATTCAAAAAGTATAATAGGACCCCTTTAATGATGACAATAAAATAATTTATAGCTCTAGCTGAAATCAAATGCAATTAATAATAACCTTATTTACATACATTTAACCAATCCTGTAATGTTACCCTATAAAAAGCTTAGTAACTGTATAAAAACAAATAATATGGGTAGTGATAATAATCACAATATCATACAATCAAAAAGATACCCACAACTGCAATCTGACATGAATAATAAACACCTGAACCTGTTCCTCTTGGTGTAGGAAAAACTGTATTCTGGCTGATGAGATGGGACTTGGGAAGACCATCCAGTCCATCACGTTCCTCTATGAGATTTTCCTCATGGGTCTAAGGGGACCTTTCCTCATCATCGCCCCGCTCTCCACCATCACCAACTGGGAGAGAGAGTTCCGCACATGGACTGAAATTAACGTCATCGTCTATCACGGCAGCCAGATCAGTCGGCAGATGATCCTGCAGTATGAGATGTACCACCGAGATGAACAGGTGGGTCGAACAGAGTGATTCATTTTGAGCTGTCAGTAGTGAGTTGAACAGAAGCACAGTATAGTTACATTAAAGGTGCAATAGGTGATTGTCTTCAGAAACATTTTTTGTTATGCTGGTTGAAAGTCTCTTCACATCCCGATAGCAATCATTAAGTTAAGTGGTCTAAATGTATTTATATATTCTGTGGAAGGCCTATAAGACCAAGAAATGTTCGTCCAATCAAAATGCTCGGTCCGAGCATTTTGATTGGCTTTCTTACCTGCCTGTCAACATGTGTATTTGCATACCTCTGCGCACCCTGTTCGCGCAGACGGAATACGTCATCAGCGCGTTCACGTACGCTGTGCAGACAGAGCAAGCGAGAATGGCAGGCAAACATCAACAACCAACAACTTTTACTAACTGTACTATAAACTTTTCTCACCTGTTAATGAAACATGTATTGTAGTAATGTTGTCTCTGGTCGTCTGGTCTGTGTGTGCGTTCATGCGTTTAGGAGGCGTGGCTTTGGACGGTGATTTGCAGGGAGGGTGGGACATTCGCTTTCAGTGCTATCAGGCTAAAGTTAGCATTTTCCAAGATCTCCTACTGCACCTTTAATCAAAACATTTTTTTTTTATACCTTTATTGCTATCTGTTTGTGTCTGCTATTTATGTGTTGGCAGTTTTTATCAAAAAAGTAGTCACTAAACTTGTAAACTATGTAGACTTAGAATAGCATATCATTATTTTTAAGAAATTAATACTTTTATTTAGCAAGGATGCATCAAATTGATCAAAAATTAAGACGTTTATAATGTTACAAAATATTTCAATTTCAAATAAATGTAAATGCTTTTAAACTTGTATTCATCATAGAATCCTGAAAAAAATGTATCACAATGTATATTAGCATATTAGAATTATTCCTGAAGACTAAAAATGCAGATTTGCCATCACAGGAATAAATTACATTTTAAAATATATTTAAATAGAAAGCAGCTATTTTAAATTGTAACAATTACACAGTTATCACAACAATACTGTTTTTATTTTATTAAACAAATGCATATTTGGTGGGTATGAGATTTTTTTTTTTTCCAGAGATTTACGAACCCCAGACTTGTTAACAGTAGTGTAACAAACACAAGAATTCAATGTGTGTTGCTTTTTACGCCCACATAATACATATCTAGGGCATTCATATCATTTTTTGCCCAAACCCCGGTTAATGTCTAACCTTGCTTTACACACCTATTTTACCAGAAGGAGAAGGTGTAGTAGGCACATTATATTTGTTAGTACAGTGTATACAATGGGTCTTTCTCTTGCTCCTTCAGGGAAACATTGTGTCTGGTCAGTTTAAGTTTCATGGCATCATCACTACATTTGAAATGATAATGGCCGACTGTCCAGAGCTGAAGAAGCTTAACTGGTGCTGTGTGGTGATCGACGAGGCCCATCGCCTAAAAAACCGCAACTGTAAACTACTGGAGGGACTCAAACTCATGAACCTGGTAATTTTATTTTTTTGCTCATTTATGGACCATGAAACATACACCGACGTTTTTGTCATTTGATGTATGTGTCATTTATAATATCAACTGCTCTACAAATGAGTTCAGGTCTAAATGCAGAAAAGGGGAAGTGAAGCCATCTGTGAGCTAAACTACAGTGCTATCTCTTATGCACACATCTCATTTATCTGCTGAGTTTTGCTTCACTGCATTTACATACGCACATCCTCTCTGGACACAGAATGAGTAATCTCATCTCTCACTTTACATATTACTGCAGCCATGGCCAGTGTGTGCAAACTGAGCTACATTTGACGCAGTGCTGTTTTATTCAAGAAAATAATCTCTCACAGCTGATTAGGTGTATTTGATATACAGGGGTTTAAAAAGTATTTGGACACTCAAGCCACTTTGCAGTAGTGAATGACATCCAGAAAGTGTATAAATTGTGTTTTCACTATATTTAAATTTGTAAATAAATGCCACATATTTGTGTATCTAATCTAATATTTATTTTTATGCAAGACTTCAGTGTCCAAATACTTTTTTGGTCCACAGTATAGAAAAGGGTCCTCATGTTGGAGCAAAGTCCAGCTCAATGTTTCCCAGTGTTGTATCTCCATCTTCATCCAGAGAGAGTTGGTATAGATATCTTAAAATATAAATACATTTTAGTGAATCAGTAGGCTGAACTTAATGTTTCTGTGTGTCTTCTCTCGCAAGGAACATAAAGTCCTTCTCACAGGAACTCCTTTGCAGAACTCGGTTGAGGAACTCTTCAGCCTGCTTAACTTTCTTGAACCCTCACAGTTCCCTTCCGAGACCACTTTCCTGGAGGAGTTCGGAGACCTGAAGACGGAAGAGCAGGTGAGAGCTAACCCTCAAATGCCTTGATAGGAAGCTTGTTATACACTGGATAAACATCTACACACCTTTACCTCCAATTACCCAAGCCACCTAGAGGATAGTAACATCCTTGCTAAAATCCTAAGTGGCCAAGGCCGATAAACTCAAAATAGCCAAATAAACTGCCGCAGTGTTGGAGTGTTTTTGTAGGCCAAAAGTTGGCATCACCTTGTTACTTTTGACAAAAAGCCAGTAGGATTTTTACATTGGATTTTGGATTTTTATTGATGTGTTTCCTTCTTCAGTGTGATGTTTAATGTCCCTGACAACCTCTGTAGTCCCATTTATCCATTTTTTAGTAGTACCACATGTTTTTCAAGATGCATTAAAACATAAAACAGTTACTGATGTTAATCATGTTGTAGTATAAAACTTGAAAATATATTGAGCTTGTGTTCATCATAGACTTTCAAAAAACCCTTTGACTTTGGGAAGATGGGAGTATAAAATGCTCATTTATTATCAGGTTTTAGGACTTTATATTAGGCAATATGGCCTGATTATTGTTGAATGATTATGTGCCCAGTTTTAACCTCAGAAACATCAACATACCCACAGGTAAAGAAACTGCAAGCCATTCTGAAGCCCATGATGTTGAGGAGACTGAAGGATGACGTGGAGAAGAATCTGGCCCCTAAAGAGGAGACAATCATTGAGGTGGAGCTCACTAATATTCAGAAGAAATACTACCGCGCCATTCTTGAGAAAAACTTTGCCTTCCTTGCCAAGGGAGCAAACCAGCACAACATGCCCAACCTCATCAACACAATGATGGAGCTTCGCAAGTGCTGCAATCACCCATACCTCATTACAGGTGACATCTGATGTTTAGATCAAGTGTGAATATGAAATATGTTGTTTGCCGTTCTCTACATCTCAGTAGCCACACCTCGAATTTGTAGCGCTGATGTAGTCTCTCATCTTCCTTCTGTCAGGTGCTGAAGAAAAGATCCTTGAGAGCTTCAAGAAAACCTACAGTTCTGAGGCTGCAGATTTTCAGCTGCAGGCAATGATCCAGGCTGCTGGTAAACTAGTGCTTATTGACAAGTTGCTGCCCAAACTGCTGGCCGGAGGACATAAAGTGCTGGTGTTTTCCCAGATGGTCCGGTGCCTGGATATACTGGAGGACTACCTCATTCAGAGGAGGTGAGACAGCTGCTTATTATACAGTGCCATTAGTCATACTTCTATAAAAAAAATGTTGAGATGTTTTTGAGACTGTAAGTGAATGAGGAAATAGACTCCATGTCAACATGAAATCAAAACCTGGTTTACGTCACTTGTTGCTTTTCTTCAGGGATCCCATAATTTAAAATATTTCAAATTGAGAATAGCAGTGGTAATTTTATTTTAAAATTTGTTTTAATTCTTTTTAAAAAGTCATAGAAATTTTTATGAAAAAAAAAAACAGTTATTATGTCCAAAATATTAGCTGGAAATTCATTAGTCAAAATGTGTGGGAACCCTGTGTCTGCTTATTACAACATTTAAAAAAAGGTTTGGGTTCAGTAAGATTTTTTTTGAAGAAACACAAAGGATGCAATAAATTGATCAAAAGTGCCAGCAAAGACATTATACTGTTACAAAAGATTTCTATTTCAAATAAAATGTTCTTTTTACCTGTCTATTTATCAAAAAATCCTGATAAAAAGTAACCATTGACACGAAAATATTAAACACAAATTTTTTCAACAATAAAAAAAAAAGGAAATATTTATTGGGCAGCACAATCAGCATATTAGAATTATTTCTGAAGGATCACGTGACACTGACGACTGGAGTAATGATGCTGAAAACACAGCTTTGGCAACACAGGAATAAATTACATTTTTAATTATATTAAAATAGAAAATCATTATTTTAAATTATATATATAAAACTACTTCAGTCTGTGTGCATTGAATTTATTTAATACACGAGTTTCACAATTTGAGTTGAATTACTGAAATAAATGAACTTTTCCACTACATTCTAATTTATTGAGATGCACCTGTATATAATATTTATTTATTTAACTTTTTCTTTTTTTACTGTTGTTGATCAAATAAATGCATCTTTGGTGACCATAATTCTTTTTTCAAAATCATAAAAAAAAATCTGCCCAACCCCAAACATTTGTGTATACTCATCAAAATATGCATGGCTGAAACAGTAAACCACATATGAGAACTATGGTGGAGAAAGAGTGGAGTTGGTCATTTCCATGCATAAAGAATGAAGATGCGGAAAGGAAATGTCTTCTTATCTGAAATTTGTATAATACATGTAGGTATACGTATGAACGTATTGATGGGAGAGTTCGAGGGAATCTCCGGCAGGCTGCCATCGATCGCTTCAGTAAAGTGGACTCTGACCGCTTCGTGTTCCTCCTCTGTACACGAGCAGGAGGTCTGGGCATCAACCTCACCGCCGCCGACACGTGTATCATATTCGACTCCGACTGGAATCCGCAGAACGATTTGCAGGTGAACAAATAGCATCTTTTATGTACAGCATAATTGACACTCTCTCCCTTTAGAAATTTCCATACCAAGTATTAAAAAATAAAAAACATGAATATTACATTTGTTATGAACATGCTTTGAATTCCACAGGCTCAAGCTCGCTGCCATCGGATCGGTCAGAGCAAAGCGGTAAAAGTATATCGCCTTATTACACGAAACTCATATGAGAGGGAGATGTTTGACAAGGCCAGTTTGAAACTGGGATTGGACAAGGCTGTTCTGCAGGACATCAACCGCAAGGGCAGTCTCAATGGGGTGAGGGATCCACAACTTTTAACTTTTTCTTCCAGTGATGAATTGAGAAAACATATCTGCCAAAGGTGGAATAGCATATCCTTGTCGACCCAAAAATACAAACTCTGTTTACTCAACTATGTAAGATTATAAAATATATATATGTGTGCTAGTTTAAGCTAGGACTTGTTACATTCACTAGGACAGTGTTGTCTAATTCCTGTGTCGTCCTCTTTCAGGTTCAGCAGCTGTCTAAGATGGAGGTGGAAGATCTTCTCAGGAAGGGAGCGTACGGTGCGCTTATGGATGAGGAAGATGAGGGCTCTAAATTTTGTGAGGAGGATATTGATCAGATCCTGCAGAGACGCACACAGACCATCACAATCCAGTCTGAGGGGAAGGGATCAACTTTTGCCAAGGTACACTTATCGATATACAGACACTACCATTAATGTTTGGGGTCTATAAGATATTTTAATGTTTTTGAAAGTAGTCTCTGATGCTTACCAAGGCGGCATGTATTTGATCAACAGTACAGCAAAAACTGTAATATTGTGAAATATTTTTATAATTCAAAAGTACAGTTTTCTGTTTGAATATATTTTAAAATGTGATTTATTCCTGTGATGCAAAGCTGAATTTTCAGTATCATTACGCCAGTCTTTAGTGTCACATGATCCTTCAGAAATCATTCTAATATGCTGATTTGCTGCTTGAGAAACATTTCTTATTATCAATGTTGAAAACAGTTGTGCTGCTTTACATTTTTTTTGTGTTTTTACAGTGATAGATTTTTTTCCAAGATTATTTAATGCATAAAAGGTTTGAAACGGAAAACTTAAAATCTTGAATTATCACCTGTGATAAGTGTACTACATCCTTGCTGAATAAATGTATGAATTTCTTTTAAAAACAAATGATTGACACCAACCCTTTGTTGGTAACTTGAGATTGGTCAAACGTTTTCTGAGACCTGGAATGGATCAAATCCGATTGCCAATGTTGTTTTTCTTGGTATCTCTGTTCATGTTGTTATATTCACCACTGTAGGTCATAAATATGGTGGATGAGTGGAAAAGTCATGTGATTGAACAAAATGAATAAGCATTGCTTGTATAAGTAAAACACAGGCCTTAACGTGTGATCTGTATTTTGATAAAATGCTCATAATCCTTTATTTTTACCAATTCCAGGCTAGCTTTGTGTCTTCAGGGAACCGTACAGACATTTCATTGGATGATCCAAACTTTTGGCAGAAGTGGGCCAAAATTGCTGAACTGGAAATTGACTCCAAGGCAGAAAAGGTAAAAATCGTGATGGTTTAAAAGCCAAAGCTTTGCATATATGAGCTCACCATGACTCAGATGGTGTAATGCAAGAGAATCAACTCATAGACTAGAGAGAGAATAGGGGTCATTTGAATATCAGCAGAGTCAAAACAGATGGGTTGATTTATTGTTTGATTTTTAATGGGCACATTCTAGACTGTTTGCATATTGGTGACATTTAAGGAGTAAAATATTGAGACTGCAACACTTTCTGACTCATGTCTTTGTCTCTGCCAGGAGAGTCTGGTGATCGACACCCCTCGCGTACGGAAGCAGACGCGCCACTATAATTCATTTGAGGATGATGAACTCATGGAGTTCTCTGAACTGGATAGTGACTCAGAGGAACGGCCCTGTCGCACAAGACGTCTCAGCGATCGCAACAGACGCTACCTCCGAGCGGAGTGCTTCAGAGTGGAGAAAAACCTTCTCATTTTCGGGTCAGTGCTTAATTTGCTTTCAGCTGCCCACTCATTCCTTCTGGGTCACCTTCTGTTGCCCTACAACAGGCTGTTAATGAAGTGACTGTTTCCAAACAAGGGTACAAAAACTAAATGAAATAATCCAAGGCCATTTTCTTCCATTATATTTGCAAATCAAGCAGATGGTCTAAATATTGAAGCCATAGATTAGGCCATATGCAGGTTATACATCTCAGACCAATGAAATGTTTGCTGTGTGTACAGGTGGGGTCGCTGGAAGGATATTCTCAATCATGGGCGTTTTAAATGGCACCTGACGGAGAGAGACATGGAGGTGCTGTGCAGGGCTCTTCTGGTCTACTGTGTCCGCCATTATAAGGGAGACGATAAAATTAAGAGCTTCATCTGGGATCTGATCACACCCACTAAAGACGGACACAATCAAGCACTACAAAACCACTCAGGTTATTAATGATTTTGTTCACATTTTTCCATCAATTCATTCATTCATTCTTTTTGAGATGACTTTATTCAGGAACTTTTGTCATGTAAATAAAACAATAAATAAATCCGTTAATCATTAACATTAATGTTGCACCATGCTTGTGCAGGTCTCCAAAGAGTTTTAAAGGATTTTTGTTACATTTTCAAAATTTAAAAATGGAAACATTTAATTAAATGTAAGGAATTAATTGATTACTAAATAATCAGTGAATATTACATTTTAATTTTATAGTTTAATTAGTTTACCACCAATTAAAATAATAATTAAATTGATGATCAGTTTAATTTTGTTTCAGCTGATCAATGTTAGTAGTGTAAATGTTTAATGTTTAGTTTACCAGAAAATATATTTTAGTTTTTTGCCATATTATGTTAATAACAACAACAATCAAACAACCTGACCCCCCCCCCCCCCCCCCCCCCCAAAAAAAAAGCCAGATGAATTTATAAATAACAAAAATGCCTAAATAAAATACAAAAAAATAATATAAATACGCAAGGACAGGGACAAAAATCACCACAAAAATCATAGTATAACATAAAGTATAATAATCATAGTATAACATAAAGTATAATAATCTTTAAGCCGCCATATCACCCTGTAGCCCAAGACTGGTTGCCCACTGAAGCTAAGCAGGGCTGAGCCTGGTCAGTACCTGGATGGGAGACCTCCTGGGAAAACTAGGTTGCTGCTGGAAGAGGTGTTAGTGAGGCCAGCAGGGGGTGCTCACCCTGTGGTCTGTGTGGGTCCTAACGCCCCAGTATAGTGACGGGGACACTATACTGTCAACAAGCACCGTCCTTCGGATGAGACGTTAAACCGTTGTCCTGACTCTCTGTGGTCATTAAAAATCCCAGGATGTCTTTCGAAAAGAGTAGAGGTGTGACCTCGGCATCCTGGCCAAATTTGCCCATTGGCCTCTGATCATCATGGCATCCTAACAATCCCCATATCTGCTGATTGGCTTCATCACTCTGTCTCCTCTCCACCAATAAGCTGGTGTGTGGTGTGTGGTGTGTGGTGTGTGGTGTGTGGTGGGCGTTCTGGCGCACTATGGCTGCCGTCTCATCATCCAGGTGGATGCTGCACACTGGTGGTGGATGAGGAGATACCCCCTGACAATGTAAAGCGCTTTGAGTGCCTAGAAAAGCGCTATATAAATGCAACGAATTATTATTATTATTATTATTATTTAAGTTCTACTATTATGTAAATGTTGGAGGAAGGGACCCAAATATTTTGTTTAGTTAATGTTATTTTAATGTACGTATACCTAAGTAAATAGACACATTTTTTTCCCTTTTAAAAAAAAAAAAAGTTACAACAGAATGCTTTCACTGCTTGAATAAACAAAAATATTTGTGCTGAAATTGAATGACAGTATATTTATACAATAAAATTATTAATTACCATTATTTGAATGTTGATTAATCATAAGCATTCCTAGTTATTAGTTATTTGTCCATTTAAACAGAATTCAATGACTGCTCTTCATATAATTGTAGAAAAATTAATTTAAAAACATTGTGTAAAACTTGTGTTTTCACCCTGTCCAGGTCTGTCTGCTCCTGTCCCACGGGGTCGTAAAGGCAAGAAGCTGAAGAACCAGTTGAGTCCCCCTGAGCTGAAGAATGCAGACTGGCTGGTCCACTGTAACCCAGAGGTTGTGCTTCAGGATGACAGCTACAAGAAACACCTCAAACAACACTGCAACAAGTAAGACTTGTGGATATTGCGCATCATGAGTATGCATTTGCAAAGTGTAGCAAAAGTACATTTTGCTCTCTGATCATACTACATAAATAGTAAGTACTTTAATCAGGGTGCAAAATTAAAATGTTCATGCATCCTACCAGTCATAAAACAATATTAGTTATTTCATTACAATATTATGAGATCAGATATATTGTAATTGATACATGTGCTCATCATAATTACAGGGTTTTAAATGTGTGATCATCATGTATCGTGTCATAAACAGGGTTCTGCTGAGGGTGCGGATGCTGTACTATTTGAAGGTCGAAGTGCTTGGGGAGGCTGCCAATCAGGCACTTGAAGGGATCCCATCCAGGTACTACATGGCCCACAAATTATCTTAACCTCATGCGTACTCCATGAATTCTGTATCAAACTGTTGTCATTGTAGAGTGGCTTAATATGTAAGGATTTCTGTGTGTTCTACAGTAAACTGGAGGTAACCCTCCCTGATATCGACTATATTGAGATACCTACTATATGGTGGGATGCTGAAGCAGATAAATCGCTGCTTATTGGAGTTCACAAACATGGTGAGACATAATCAAAGAAGAATGGGTGCAACGAACCGTCGCACCCAGTTTCATGATGCAATTCTTGTGATTACACAATGGAAATCCATGCAGACACAAATACATAAGTAATTTTTTACTTTTTAGCAGAGATGTGATGCATTTGAATGCATTTAGCGAATCTTTATATGCTTCATATGGTTCATATTGACTTCCTCCTACTTTTATCATGTGCATTAACTTCTCTTTGTGTCCCATGCAGGGTATGAGCGGTATAACGCCATGCGTGCGGACCCTGCTTTGTGTTTCCTGGAGCGAGTGGGTATGCCTGATGTCACTGCATTGACGGTAGAGCAAAGTGGAGCAGAAACTGCTTCAGATGCACCTGATAGGTAATATGCTTTGAGCAGCAGAGATATAACCAGTTGCACCACTTGGCTGTTACTCCCATAAACATGTTTCTTATTTTGCAGTATCACCAAGAGTGATGAAATCAAAGAGGAGAATGATATTAAGTCTGAGGAATCAGAAGAGAAAGTAGAGATCAAGGTAATAATAGGAAGTCAAAGAAGTGTGAAGTCAGATGAATTTTTTGCGTTTTAACCAAATGCTCAGACTGTTCATTTAAGTAAAGTTTTCTTTTACAAAGGAGGAACCCATGTCAGAGGAAACAGGGAGAAATGACAGTACAGTGACAGGTATGGAAACCTTCCTTATCTGTTTACTTATTTACCAGTAATGTTGAAATAGAATCTTTAATTGTTTGTAAATACTGTTAAAAAGGGGTCATATGATGCGATTTCAATTTTTCCTTTCTCTTTGGAGTGTTACAAGCTCTTGGTGCATAAAGAAGATCTGTAAAGTTGCAAAGACTAACGTCTCAGATCCAAAGAGATATTCTTTATAAAAGTTAAGAGTCAACCACGCCTACCTAAAACGGCTGGGTCTAACACGCCCCCACATGTCTACGTCACTATGTGGGAAGATTTGCATAACGCCGCCCAAATGTTCACGCAAAGAAAGAAGGCGTAACTTTTATTCTCGCTGTACTATTGATGCCGCCGCCGCCATTTCGTGAAGGCACTGTGTGATTCGTTGTGAAAGCGAAACTACTGTTTGGCCTTCCAAAAGAGGACAATATCCGCTTCGTCATGCTTAGAGCTGATCCGTGCTGGTTGCTGAGGAAATACAACAACTTTGCGCTGTGGATCGCCGGATTGGCTTTCACCGTGGATGAAGCGGAGTCCAGCCTGGGGTCGTCACATGTGGTTACCGCAAGCCCTCCGGACGCTCCTTCGTCGAATCCGCCGGCTGTTCCTCACTCTAGCCCCCGGCCTCTGCTCACTCTAGGCCACCGTGTGTGACGCTGTGTTTCGTTGTGAAAGCGAAACTACTTTGTTTGGCCTTCCAAAAATGGACACAACTAGAAATCAGTGGTTATGTTGTATTTACAACACTGTTCCAGAACAGTTTAACCCAAATATTCAGATGTGTGCAGCACATTTTATGGAGGACGTTTCCTGATCCTGGTAGAGTAGACTACAATGCCGGCTGTTCTGACTCACAGACTGTAAGTAAGTTTTTTTTATATTTATAGAAGAATTTGCCACTAATGATTCAAACGCGAGTTTTAGGCAGTGTAGAGTAGGGCTTGTTGTTTTTCATTTCTCCGATCACAAATGCAGACATGGTTTTTTGTTTACGCGGCGCGATGCAACGCAATGTGTAAAAAGACAGTATAAGTCATTATAATCTATAATTATGTCCCCACTGGATGCAACGAATGCCTCGTTTATAATGGGTTTTCATGTTTTTGAATCATCGCTCCGGCCTGACAAGGCATCACAATATGGTAGGGGCGTAACATTTCCGTTACACGCTTGAGGTATTCGGCCAATCATAACGCACTGGATAGCTGGCCAATCACAGCACACCTCGCTTTTCAGACCGATGAGCTTTGTAAAATTCGATGCGTTTCAGGAAGGCGGGGCATAGAGGAGAAACAATAATATACAGAAAATAATGTGTTTTTTTAACCTTAAACCGCTTAAACACATTTCATTACACCAAATACACAAAATAATGTTCTTTTTAGCAACATCATATGACCCCTTTTTGAAAGTTGTCATATTGCTTGCTATTGCTTTGGCATCCGTATAAATGTGACACAAATCCTAAAGTGACCACCTCTTAATAGGAACTTACTTTATGTTGGGTCTAAAGTATAATTTCTTTTAAAGGGGGCTTTATAGGATCTCTCGCAGGAGACCTTGTTGCAGAAGTGATGGAGCAGGGACGGATACAGTGGCCGGCAGGCTCGGCTCTTACAGCACGTCTGCGGCGCCTCATTACTGCCTATCAGCGTTATACACGACGTGAGCCGCTTCGTCATGATTTTCTCTTACACGAGGGAATTTCACCTGTGGCCTGGCAAATGGGAGAGTTTAGGCACTGCACTACTGAGCCTGACCCGCTCTTTTTAGAGTGGCAACGAAGGTGAGTGATGCGACAGTGGTTTTATTGTCTACAGTTATTTTCTCAAGATGAAATCAAAGAATTTAATTTGCTTTTTTTTATGCAAACGTTGCAGGTCATGATGAACATTGGAAGAATAATATTTTGATTCTGCATTGGCTTAGAGATTAATAATATGTGCTGAAAATCAGTTAATTCACCTTTTGAGGGAAATTGGTTTTTTTTTTTTTTTTACATATCTCCTTTGACACAGGTGGACACGTCGAGAGCAGGCTGACTTCTATCGCACAGTGTCCTCGTTTGGAGTAGTATATGACCCAGAGAAGAAGACTTTTGACTGGAACCAGTTCCGTGCCCTTGCTCGATTGGAGAGGAAGACGGATGAAAGCTTAGAGAGATATTTCCACAGCTTTGTTTCAATGTGTCGAACTGCATGTAGACTGCCACCCAGAAAAGATGAAGGTAAAAAAGATAGTTGATAGTTTGATGGGAAGATTAATAGAAGCTAAATCTGTCATAATGTAAACACAACTTCTTATCTCATGTAGGTAACGTGGATCCTTCACTGTTTGTGGAGCCCATTACAGAAGAGCGAGCTGCCAGAACATTATATCGTATTGAGCTTTTGAGAAAGGTCCGTGAGCAAGTATTGCGCCACCCGCTCCTGGGGACACGACTGCAGCTTTGTCACCCTAGCTTGTATTTGCCCGTCTGGTGGGAGTGTGGCAAACATGACCGTGATCTTCTCATTGGGGTCGCTAAGCATGGATTGAGTCGAACTGATTTCTACATCCTCAATGACCCCCAATTTTTCTTCCTGGAGGCCCACCGGAACTATGTTCATAAAGAAAACCACAGATATCCAGTCCCAGGCTTGCCCCACCACCATTGCTGCTTGTATGATGCCAACCTTGGGCATTGTCAGTCCCCACAACCTCCAGAGTATCACCACACACCAACACAACTCGTCCATACTCATGGGCATCACCAGGCCACAGAAGTGGTGGCATCAGAGTCTGGAAGTTCCCTAGGGATAGGTACAGGAAATAGTGAAGTATTTTTGGATTGTCCTCCATTGGATGACTCTCTGGAGTTGGGGTCATTGCAACATGAAGGATTGACATCAGACACACTACATGGCAAATCTGGTAAAGAGGCCTTCAATGGATTCCCGTTCAATTCTGCAACCGGTGGGCAGAATATGCTAAATTCGTACGATGTGCAAGGGGAGTTAAATGGGTCTCAAGGAGACATGGTGGACTCCATAGCTGGGAAACTTCGCAGCGATGTTCTGGTGGGAGAGCAAGGGTCCTCAGAGGAGACTGGCTTAATGGCTCCTTCTGTGGAACTAGATGAACTTCAAACTCCATGGGAAAGCTCGGACCATGCTGAAACTTCTGACATGTTCAACGAGACTGATCCCATCTTGGGAGCGCCAACTTTGGAACCCAGCTTTCTTGATGCTCCTCAGCCAGAAGATGGACGGGAGGGTGATGAAACGCTCACTGACTGTTTGAGCATGCCTAGTTCGGACTCTCAAAGTAACCCTGTCGAACCACTGGCACCAAGCTTCATGTTGTTCAAAGACCTTAATGTTGGAGAGACTTCTGTGGATCAGACAGATCTGTCAGCCAGTCTTCCAGAATATGTTCCACCACCACCTCTTGGACTCCCGGATGTGAGTCTTGACCAGACAGATCCCATTAGTGAGGAGCAAGAGGACAGGCTTAGTGATTCCAACATCACACATGGTGTTCCCAGTCCAGAAGGAGCTGAAAGCATAAGGTTTCATTTTGAGAAAGAAGACCTTTCTCCAGACAGTCCGAAGACAAAGGATACTCTAGATGAGTTTGACAAGATGCCTTCAACAGAGTCTCCAAGGGAAAATTGTCTCGAGGAATCTCAGAAAGGGGAGGTGCCATTTGATGATTCCAATGGAGATTTGAAAGATCCTTGTGAAGTGGCTTTCGAAGAACCTTATGAAAAGCCTCTGACAGAGCCAGAAAAAGTGCCTTTAGAGGAGTCTTATGATTTAACTTGTGACGAGACCCTGCAGGAACCTTGCGAAGGGTTTCAGCAAGACACAGCGGAACAGCAGTTGGTGGAAGAAACCTGCAAAGAACCGCCAGAGCCAATAGAAGAGTGCAATCTAACTAACACTACTCTTTCAACAGATTACCCTATGCCTTCTTCACTCCCATCGTCTCCAACTACCTTACCTGACACCTCTGTATCCCCGGGCCTTGACGCAGTCCCAAAACAAGAGTTTCTCGTGGATCCAGTGGTGTCAGATGTGAAGCCTGAGCCAGATAGCACTACGCAGACCCCTCACCTTGAACAGACTGAGGTTTTGGAAGTAAAGGACAAGATAAAAGATGAAGGTGCAAAGGCACCAGGTATTGTGGCTGTAAACTTTAGCTTTCTACTTTGTATGTTTGGTTTCTGATTCTGTTAGTCATATGTAGTAGTTCCAGGTCTATCGAGTTTCTTAATATTTCATTTAATTCTTTACAAAACTAGTAATGGCAGTTTGGGCTGCTTACCCTGTTGGAGAAAAGCATCTCAGTAGACTTAGTTGGTGTAAGCTAGTCTAGCTGGTGTCCTAGCCTGGCCAATTTGGTGTTTAGCTTGTTAGACAGCTGTTCTCTAAGTCTGAACACTTAAGTGTCCAAAAGCTAGCAAACTGGATCAACTTGAACAGGTTAGGAGACCAGCAAACTAACTTTGGCTGTTTTAGGCTCACTTTATTGGTACCAGAAGTATGTACATGTCCGTTTTAGGGCTGAAAACATTTTAGAAGGAAAAGACAATGATAAAAGTGGAATAACTGACTCCTGACTGTTGAATTATTGATAATTATTGATGTTGTGGCTGCATTACCACCTTTACTGTGCATTAAATAATTCAACAGTTTGTCATCAGTTATTTCTAATTCTTGACAAACACTAGTCAGATTTGCTGGATGGATTCACTTAATATTTTCTGTACTGCCCAACATATTCAGACACATTACATGCCGATAAATGATTTTTTCTCACTATGTTAAAAAACCCAATGGAAAACATAAGGAATAAATCATTTAAAAAACTGTTTTAGTCTCTTTCTCTCCCAGCATAGTTTGAATAATAATTGTTTGTTTTTTTAGCATTATTGGGAGATGTTGATGGACCACGCTTTGCATTGCCCATGTGTGAGATGGCAGACAGTGTCCATGAAATAAGGGAACCAACCATTGCTCAGCTTCTACAAGAGAAAGCACTCTACTCCTTCTCAGAGTGGCCTAAGGTATTGCCATGTTGGTGACCATTTTTCATCAAGTGGTGATACTGAAAAGATATTGAATATTTTGCATATTCTGCTGAAAATGTGAAGTCTTCTCTGAAAATTAAATAAGTAAGGCTGGTGTCAGCCCATAGCATACCACTAGACATGTATCCGTCACTTATTTCTGCAGTTAGACCCATTTCATACCCTGTTTTGTCTTTTTGCTCCCTATAGGACAGAGTGATCATCAATCGTATTGACAGTGTCTGCCACACTATCTTAAAGGGGAAATGGCCTTCCTCCAGTCAACAGTATGACTCTCCCACCTCATTGGCTAACACCTGCGTGCCCAGCAGTGCCCACCAGAGGGCAGGATTTCTGCCTACCAGAATGCCTATATCTCAGAGCCTTAACTTTAACCTCTCACACACAGTACCCCACTTACCAAAGGTAGGTGTGAGATCACATCATCAGACAGGAGGTTCTTCAAGGTGTCTGCAAATCCTTAAAAAGTAGAGAAGTATCCTAAATTCAAATCAGGTTTTGGAAATATCTGGACATAAATGATATATATACATATATAATTATATTATAATCCTGGAGATATCAGGGTATTCTAAAAGTGTGAAATTTTGAGGCCTGAAAGTCTTTAAAGTGTCTAAATTGTGGTTCCTTTGAAAAAAAAAAAAATTTGATTGTTTTTAATCCATTTTACAAATCTAAATATCATCAAACGGCTAATAAAAGCCTTTGGATTGTTACAAAACTGGTTCCAAAACTCTTTAGATTGAATTAACTGAAACATGGAGATATCCTATTATTTATTTTTTTATTAATTTACAACTCTTGTCCCAACAGGAGCGGTTAGTGGCCCCAGCATTTCTCCCTGAGCGCAAACGTCCGAGACGTGGGTTTGAATTCGAGGCAGAAGTCCTTGCCAAACCAAGCCATCTTGGAGAAAAGATCCAGGTTGGCGTGCCTCATCGTGTAAATGCTCTTCTACTTAATGGCTGGCAGGACGCCGCTATTGACCTCTCCAAACCAACAGAGCTAACAGTTGGTGGAGACAGTGGGCCAATCAGTCAGATGAGCCACACTGTCCAGTCAGCGCCCCATAAAATAACTGGGATAGGCTCCATACAAGGCTCACTGGGATTGGATATGGCTGGCATTTTGCAGGCTGGCCTGATTCACCCTGTCACGGGGCAAATTGTCAACGGCTGTCTTCGTCGTGATGATTCAATGTTGAGACAGAGGAGAGGACGAAGAAGAAATGTGGAGACTCCTGATCTCAGCTTTATAAAGAGACAAAGCATGAACTTGCCTGAACAACAGGTTTGTGGAAACACGTGTCAATGAAGTGGATATAGTAGGACACCCAAAGATGAAAATGGCCCCTTGTGATTCTAGCATTGTACTATTTGTTTTGTGAGACATAAAAGGAGATGCTTGGCAAATCTACTCTTCTTTTCTGTATAAAGAAAGTTGAAAAAACAAAAAAAGTTGAAAGTGATGATTTATCCCGCCAAGCTCAAAGTAAAAAAAAAAGCACCATAAAAGATTAAAGTCTTCATCAGAAGTGGTATGGGGTACTTTTTTGATGTTTTTTTTTGGGGGGGGGTACATTTTTTAAGCTAATTTGATGTTTTTAAAAAGATTTACCAGGACAATATTTTAAATATTAATATGAAAGATCTTATATAGTCTCTTTTGTGATGTTGAAAGAAGCTTATTTTCAAAGTTTTTATTTCAAACTTGGATCTTGCCACGAAAATAGCCTTTGATGCTGATATGACACTAAAATAAATTATATTAATAAATCAATTTAACTGGCAAGTGTTGTGTTAATCTTTGTATGCTCCACAGAGTGGGTCAGAGAGTATCAGCCACCCTGTTGTGTCCTCCACATCCTCCCAGTCAGAAGGCCCTCCAGCCACCCCGACTACACTTCCTACTCAGCCTCCAGCACCCTCTCCAGCTCCTCCTCCAGCCTCAGAGACCCTGAATGTGAGCATGGACAGGGAAACAGCCAATAAAGGCCTAATGGAATGGCTCCGACAAAACCCCAACTTCAACATGGAGCTTTCTGCTTTTCCGGTAAGTTAGAGCAGAACTTAGTTTTAAGTCGTAATATTTTTTTTTACATTTTCTTTTGAAAATTATAAACACCTATTAAATTCTTATTAGATAAAGTTAAGGCTTATTTTTTTTGTCTTACATTTTAAATGTCCTGTTTCACATTACGTCACATTACTACTAAAACAGATGTATATGCGAAAGCAATTTCATGTTTATTTGTGTACTGTTAAGGAGCTTTAAAAAAAAAGGTTGTTAACACCATTTTTCCATCTAGAAAGATATTTGAATGATACTAAATATAAATGTTTATTGTATACAGCTTATATTATATATTATAAGCCTTGATACAAATAATATATTTGCTGTTTAATACATTACTATAACCTAATTTATATTGCACATCTTTCTTAGTCTCAGAATGCAAACATATTGCACAGTTTCCTGGAGCGTCCAAAACAGAGAAGGCATCGCTGCAAAGACCCATCCAAACTCGACGTCAGCTCTCTAACTGGGGAGGAGAGAGTCCCAGTAGTGCATAGAAACACAGGCCGCAGGGTAAGAAAACATGCAAACATACTCCTTTATCCTTTCTTGCTTATTTAATTCAAATTTAATGTGACAATTCCTCTGGTTGCAGCTTGGAGGTGCTATGGCTCCAGCGATTAAAGAGCTCTCCCGATGGCTGGATGCAAACTCAGAATACTCTGTGGCTCCTGATTGGGCGGATGTGGTGAAGCACTCGGTGAGTCATATATATTCTGTCTAGAAAGAGACTGGAAACTGCAAGAAGCGGAGCAGAGATTGTTCCAGTGAAGCCACTTGTGTATATGTGGTAAACTGAACAAATGCTAATCGTCAAGGTTCAGCATCTAAATGTTGCCTAAAATGTATAGGTTCAGAGTGGAAGAAATCACAATCTCGCTTAAGCACTACAAAGTCCTTGATCCTACTCAGCCTCCAGCACCCTCTCCAGCTCCTCCTCCAGCCTCAGAGACCCTGAATGTGAGCATGGACAGGGAAACAGCCAATAAAGGCCTAATGGAATGGCTCCGACAAAACCCCAACTTCAACATGGAGCTTTCTGCTTTTCCGGTAAGTTAGAGCAGAACTTAGTTTTAAGTCGTAATATTTTTTTTTTACATTTTTTTTTGAAAATTATAAACACCTATTAAATTCTTATTAGATAAAGTTAAGGCTTATTTTTTTTGTCTTACATTTTAAATGTCCTGTTTCACATTACGTCACATTACTACTAAAACAGATGTATATGCGAAAGCAATTTCATGTTTATTTGTGTACTGTTAAGGAGCTTTAAAAAAAAGGTTGTTAACACCATTTTTCCATCTAGAAAGATATTTGAATGATACTAAATGTAAATGTTTATTGTATACAGCTTATAATATATATTATATATTATAAGCCTTGATACAAATAATATATTTGCTGTTTAATACATTACTATAACCTAATTTATATTGCACATCTTTCTTAGTCTCAGAATGCAAACATATTGCACAGTTTCCTGGAGCGTCCAAAACAGAGAAGGCATCGCTGCAAAGACCCATCCAAACTCGACGTCAGCTCTCTAACTGGGGAGGAGAGAGTCCCAGTAGTGCATAGAAACACAGGCCGCAGGGTAAGAAAACATGCAAACATACTCCTTTATCCTTTCTTGCTTATTTAATTCAAATTTAATGTGACAATTCCTCTGGTTGCAGCTTGGAGGTGCTATGGCTCCAGCGATTAAAGAGCTCTCCCGATGGCTGGATGCAAACTCAGAATACTCTGTGGCTCCTGATTGGGCGGATGTGGTGAAGCACTCGGTGAGTCATATATATTCTGTCTAGAAAGAGACTGGAAACTGCAAGAAGCGGAGCAGAGATTGTTCCAGTGAAGCCACTTGTGTATATGTGGTAAACTGAACAAATGCTAATCGTCAAGGTTCAGCATCTAAATGTTGCCTAAAATGTATAGGTTCAGAGTGGAAGAAATCACAATCTCGCTTAAGCACTACAAAGTCCTTGAGCTGAGCTGAGTTGAGTTGACTCTCCTTATAGTTTGTCATCTGCTAGATGACTAACAATATACATTTTTACTGCAACAATTTCACAGGTTCTGTGTTTGTCATCTGCATGAAATCCCCCATAGGGATGTCTATAATAATCTGTTCTATAGTTTATAATATTCTATTGTATATTCATTTATTATTAAGGTATGTATGGTAACTGAATTTTTTTTGTTTAAATTATATTACTATAGTATTATTTTCATATTAAAAATATGAAAAATATGCTTGAGTGTCAGTGTGTTTCACTGAAATCCATTCTATTGAAATCTAACCCAAGTTTATGAGTTATGCAATTATATATAACATGTATGCACGTTTTAACTGCAATTAATGAGAGTTGACTCAGAGAGTTCATTTTGATCATGATTTTGAATGAAACTACTTTCAACTTTATATCATATACATGTGCAATTTTTATCCTATACATTAATGATATAGTCTTTGACTTTTATAGATACTGAATGAATTTGTTCCTTGTAAACCAACACTAAATTTCCGTATCGCTCTTTTCCAGGGTTTTCTACCGGAGGGCAAATTCACACGCATCCTCTCTGGCCCTGTATGTCGGGATCCTGGTCCGCGTAGAAGAGGCAGGCGACCCCGCAGCGAGATGCCCAAAGCCCCTGAGCTCGCCGCTGCCATGGGTCCGCTCTTCATGAACGGTGGGCTCATTGGCAGCATGGATCTGGTTAGCTTACCCAATCTCCGCAATGTCCCTGGCATCCCGCTAACCGGTATCATGGGCTTTCCTCACGGTTTCGCCACTGCCGTACCGTCAGGAGAAGATGCCAAGAATGGACTCAGCATGCTGCCCATGATGCTCCACAGCATGGCGGCCGTGCAGCCGCCCATGTACAGCGCTCACATGAGTGGGATGATAAATCAACAGCTGTCCACAGTGATGTCCACTGCAACCGCATCCTCCACTTCAGCGAGCGTGACTTCGACAAACTCCACAACCGTAACCGTAACCTCAACCTCCAGCCCGGCGGATAGTTCGGATTCTGCGCCTCAGCGTGAAAACGCAAGCTCTCCGATGAGCACGGAGAATAAGGAGGACGCAAAGCAAGGAGGGGAAGAGAAGAAAGTGTCCGCTTCTGTGTCTACAGCTGCGGCCACTAGCAGCAGTAGTAGTAGCATCACAAGCACCGGCAGCCATTTGACCTTTAACCCCTTTCTAATCCCGGGAATGTCACATAGTCTGTTGTATCCGCATATGTTCTTGCCACCGGGCAGTATAATGGCTCTGCCCACTATGCCCGCAGCAGACAGCACGGGCAGCCCCAAGAGGAAGAGGAAGAAGGTTAGGGAGGAAGGAGCAGAGGAGGGAAGCGGCAATGTTGGTGTGGAATCGAAGGGGGTTAAAGGCGAACAGACACCCGAACAAAAGAGCCAAGAGGGCGGAATGGAAGAAGGTGGACCTGATGTAAATTTAGCTCAGGTCAAAGATCCTTCTGACCCTATAAAAGGTCCTTCTGAGGATAAAAGTACTGAGGAAAAGGACAAAAATGAGATGGGAGAGAAAACGGAGTCAAATGCTCTAAACTCTTGTGACGGTGGAGACTAGGATGCATTCACATGTTTGGGCTGCAGTACTTTTGTGCGTGTCGTGTCGGTAAAGTTTGTGTATAGGACTTTGATTATCCATGTATTGTTTATAGATCTGCCCTTGTAATTTCACTGACATCTACTCTACCTTCTGCGTGTGTGCTAAAGGAATAGACACTTAAAGCATGCAAACACTCAGAGGTCTCGAATCCTAAAAAAGGGACAACATCATCATTGGTGTTAGCGTGTTCCTTTTGCATCATGGGAATGGATATTCAGACGATTCTGTCTATTGACGGAGAACGCTCTTAGTGACCCCAGCATTTTTAGGTGTTATTCACTAGCATCTTTCACAGGTTCTCAGAAAGCAGTAGGATGTTGGTATTGTGCAAAAAACAGACGGCGGTCTCACTTCGTAATGGTGTTTTGGATCACGCTTTTATAAGTTGCATAAGACCTAGATTCATGTTTTGAAACATTTCTCTGAATAATGTAAAGAAAACACTCATCCCATTGGTAGATTACCAGCAGAGCTGCATCTGATACAGTCTCGATGGATCACAGTATTTTGTTCTTAGTTGCTTGCTGCTATGTATTCATTTTAGTGAAGATTTTAACCTAAATCCTTTACAAAGCTATAGGTGGCATGAGTGCAACATGGTGAGTGCAATGGAAACTCAAAAAGAGCCAGGCTTGAAGTTGATGGCAAAGAACAATCCTGAGATTGATTTATCTTTTGTTTTGTTTGTCTTGTTGTTTTTGATGTCATTTCCACGTGGTTGCTTTGATAAGATACCCCCGTTGGGATACTACTAATCATTATAGAGGTGGCTATATGCATTTAGGGGTGCTGCAAGTTCAAGAGTGAAGGGTTAGTGCCATAGATGAGACTTGGTTCTAAATGGTTTTGGTGCACGGGCTTATCAAATAAGTGATGCAAAGCAGATGGTAGAAAATTGCGAGAACTGTGTTTTTAGTTACTTTAAAAGGATAATTCACCCTAAAATTAAAGTTCTGTTAACATTTCACTCTTATGTCATTCGAACCCATATGAATGTCTTCTGTGGAGCATAAAAGCCGCATGCTCACATTAAGAAGTGGCTGTCAGACTTCAAAAATGACCATAAAACTACTCCGTATCACTACTTTTCCTTATGCAAAGCTACCTTGTGTCTTTAGAATAACTTGGAATAAAGTGCACAATTAATTTGAGCTACTTTTATTGTGCATTTTTGCCCTTCTTGAAGTTTGATAACCCCTAGTCATTGTGCTTTTATGTGGGGAAGAGCAGTCTTAAAAACAGGTTTGAAACAACATTAGGGTGAATAAATTATGCTGGAAAGTTAAGTTTTGGGTGAAATATTCCTTAACCAAAAAATATTTTTGCATATCCCTGTTTTTTTGCCTTCACTAAAGCCCTTAGGTTGATGGGGTTGACAGGAAGACGTCAGACCGTCTCGTTCTCCTCATGGGTTACATTGCTCTTATTTTCTCTGGTGCATTTGAAAATACTGTTGAGTAAAACCTACCGAGATTTTGGAAAACATGTAAATCTATCTAGCTGTATATTGCGGTTACTTTTGTTTACAAGCACACAATGTTATTTTTCCTCGCCAGTATTTCTCATATTGGGAGGATGTGTAAAAGAAAAAAAAACAGCACTAGTGTTTCTTTTATTTGAAACAATTTACACTAGTTAATAACCAGAGATAATTTAACTCGTTTTCTCCCCCAGTCTCAACAGGGTCTCTCTTTTGTGGGAGTATTCATTTTCCACCTTTTCATCTTTTTTTTTTCTTTTTTTTTTCAGTTTTCAAATGTGAAAACATTTTTTGCACAGTCTTTTAGGTGAATGTTTACCTGTAATTGTGTTCCGTCTTGTTTGTTTATGTGTGTTCGTGTGGACGCATGCGCACGCTTGCACATGTCACTTCCTGTACAGTTTGACCTATGTAAACCTGTACTGTAAATTTCTTGTCTAAACAAAACAAAACAAAAAAATCATGGTCACCTTCAAAAAAACATGCTGTTGTTGCCTTGTCACACTATTTGTGACACCATGATGTAATTTATTTTGCTTTTATTTCTCTTTTTACTTTGCCAAATTCACCAAATACGACATTTCCCCTTTCTCATCACATCTATTTTATTGTGTTCACTTTGCAATGCCTTATTTAGTGGTTTATATATGGATGTTTGTTACATCTTTATGTTGGAAAATATATCTATCAAAATACTTGTGTACAGTGTCAACGTTTTGGGAAGCAGTCTCGGTCATACTAGTTAAAATCTAGTTGTACAGATACTGACCACCTTGTGCATTTTTTGGTGTAAAACTTCAGATTATAAAACCTTTCAAATAACATAATCAGGCCTCTTTCCTCTCTCAACTCATTCAAAGCAGTATTGCAAAGCACAAAGTCTACTTGACTTTCAAAAATGTCTCATTGTTAGTCTGAAAGCTTACCTCAGACCTTTTCTCTATTGTCCCTACAATGCTTTCTCAGTAACATCTGGTGAACAAAAGCGCACAGACCTCGTCTAGACGTCTGGATGATTGTGTTATCCTTGCTTTTGACGTTTTGAGAAGTTCGCATCTCAATTAAAGGCCTTCAGAATTTCAGGAGAAACACAGCCAGTATGTGTACAACTGGAGAGTTCAGATAGTTAGACTGAGAATGCTGCGTTGCTGGTTGTAAGCGTGTTGATTTTATAAACGTACTGTTTGTTGGAAATGTACAGTTTGAAAACGCAACAATACACTCCAGTTTAATTCAATTTGAATCACGGTGTTTGAAAAGAAAGTTTCCCTGGTGCAGTATCTGGGCTCATTTGAAGATCAATGAATATATATTCAATTCTGTGTCCTAGTAACTCTCCAGATACCTATTTTTGTCTTTCTCCCTAGCTAAAACGGTTTGGTAGTTCATCTAAAAATCTGATCAATTTCAATTTTTGCCTGTATTTATTGTTTTACTGTCTCAGCGTTGTCTCCCTGTGTATTGCAACATGTGCATAAACTTGCTGTCTCCAGGTTTTGGATGTTTTCCTATATGGGATGTCTACACTGATCCATTTTACTTTCCATAAAAGCTGAACTGTTCTGAAAACAGTAATGTTGACTGTATCTGTGTGTATAAATACGTCTCTGGATAGTTGCTCCCAGATACTCTTGAGAGCAAACAATGCCTTCCCATTGGGCCCCTACCTCCATTTTTCATGGGTTGATCAAAGGGAGATCTTTGTAGTAGCTTTGCATAGTGCATTTCCAATGGGGAGTGAGAATTGGGAAATTTGTGGTACCATATGCCATTGTCATTTCGATCGGACTCTGTCAGCATTCAATATTATGCTTTCAAATATGCACGTAGTAGGAGACTGGATTTTGCTTTACCACGGTCAGTGTTTGCATGTCAGGACCTGCTAAAAAGACCCAGTCACAACATCTGAGGCAGAGCAACATCCCATACTTAAGTGTATGCAAGTCAGGCTACTATGGAGTGTTTCTTATAACAGCTGCTTAGCCAGACAGACTTAAGTCTTTAGTGTTCATGGCACACTAGAGCATCATGTACCACGCAGAACTGCGCTTGCGTCACTATTGAGCCTACGTTGGAGCTTCTGTTCCTCAAGATCTTGTAGAATAACATTGAATGAATTTGATACGACTAACAATGGTCAGTGTTCATGACGAGGAAGTACTGTAAGTTCGTAGTTCCATTGAAGCAAGTGCACTATATTGGGATGATTACACAAGATAAAAAGTGAACTTATACACTTGGTAAGAAATCTGCAGCAGAGTCGTGGGTCTTTAATTTTTTTTATTTTATTTAATTTTTTTTTATTTTGGGATATTTTGTTTTTGTTCGAATAGCTCCTGTACACCGATGTGGACCAATCATATAATTCAAACCATGGTATGTGATCTTTTATTGTGCAATAAAAGATGACTTTCAACTTTCAAGTCAATATGTCTTATGTTGATCAGTTAGTCCTCTGCCAAACAATTTTTAAATGTGCAGGTTTTTTTATATTCTACAGTCGTTAACATTTGAAGTGGATCAAAACAGTTAATCAAAGTTGTCCTAAGACAAGAAAACATTTTGGTTTTAGGACAACTTTAAAAGGTTTTGATCCACTTCAAATGTTGACTAGCGTCGTTTCTTGTTTTAGTATCTTTTTTCAGTCTGTGTGCATAGAATTTATTTAATACACGAGTTTCACAATTTGAGTTGAATTACTGAAATAAATGAACTTTTCCATGACATTCTAATTTATTGAGATGCACCTGTATATATATATATATATATATATATATAGCTAATGACTGATATTCCTAGTTGCACAAATCAGTGATTTAATTTAATTGAGCAAATAATGAATGCTTAAAGTCATTAAATGTATGGTATCTGGAGATTTTTAATTAATTTTATAATTACATATATAACAAATACTATAATGTCAATATAATTATTAATAATTGTAATTAAATATTTTTTAAGTATAAAGGATTAAACATGTCAAATTAAGATAGGTATAATATATAAATTGAGATGGGGGGGGGACAAGCAACAAAACTCGACATTTTTGTAAAATTGCATACACAATTCTCATGTAAATATAATTAGTAATAATTGTAATGAAATATTTACGTATAAAGGATAAACATGTCAAATGATGTAAGAGAAGTATCATATATAAAATGAGATGGAAAAAACAAGCAACAAAACGTGACATTTTTTGTTTATTGTGTATGTTACAGATTAAGAGTGAAGCGGCCGACTTTAGTTTAAAGCCGGAGCTTATTATATTGTGTTTATGTTCTTCATATTTTATGTAATGCTTTAGTAAACACTGAGGACGTTTAAATCCTCCATGCTTCCTGGCTGTCGTCTTTATTGTTGAAATGACGCCATCTACTCCTGTTCGCCCATTGGCTGAGAGGAGCCCGTTTTCGCGCCATTCGCATGTCTCGGCATTGTGGGATAGCATCAGGAGGTTAGCGGCGCTCCGGGTCAACTCCGTGTTTTACCTAAAAACACCTTTCTCTGGACATTAACGGATTTGAACGGATTCCAGCAATGCGTGGAGATGAAACGGATACGGAGTCCGTTAAATCAGCCGATGGTTCGATTCGGAGCAATTTCGAGGCGCTTTGTCAGGAGCTCAATATGGACGAAGAGACGGCAGCAGAAGCGCTTGAGAACTTCAGCTCCATCTGGAACACTTACACGCTAGAGGTGCGACGTTAATTCACATTCACACAACGACCAAACGACAGGAACAGCTGATGCCTTCCCCCTGCCTTCAGCTCGTCTGAGTGTTCATACAGACACATAGTCAAAATAACCAGTAGCCTGCTAGTAACGTAATGACATTCACACTGAATTTCTCTGAAGTAACTTACCGCGGTATGCGAATATGGTACCTTGGTATGAATACAATATACTACCATAGTAACGTTACATATCGAAATTACTATAGTTGTACCGGCATATTATGTTACACTAATTAGTGTTAATGTATTATGTTACGCTCAAAAGTGTCCAAAGATACACCAGATTAATACCGTTTAAATCGCTTCAGAAATGACTGAGGGTTCCCTGATATGTCACATGACAATCACAAAGGAAGTCATTTAAGGGAATGCTGGGAAAGATGCATTTTTTTCTCACCGACTGCTAGATGTTAGATCTGTCAGGCTTCTGTAGATTAAAGATACAAGTGGTGTTCATTTTATTCAAGCTTAACCTTGTAAAAACTGCCATATGAAATAATGGTCACGGAAATCGAATTTATTTGAAATTCCAGTTTATTGAACCCTTAAAAATAAGATATAAGAGAAGTTTATGCATGTGTGTTTATGATTTGTGTCATATTTGATACATCAGACGTCTATGGCTCTTTTAGTATGATATAGGAGAGTATGGAGCTCATACTCGATGAGGAAAAAAACAGTTCAGAGGCTCAAACTCAGCCAAAAAAGAAATAAATGCATGGCGCTGATGGCCAAAAAGTAAGATAACATTCTGTTAGCTTGTAATGCAAGTAAGATGTAAGATCTTTATAACAGATTTGTAGAGTCTAAGGGTGAGCTGATATTTAAATGCTTAGTTTTATGATCAAAGCTCAATAGTTTGTATTGTGGGGAAAAGACATGTAATGCAATACAGTAATGATTGATAAATCAAATAATGTTTTTGTTTGCTTCATAAAAAAATCATTAGATTTGACCGCAAAAATCTAATAAAATTTGTGTACACGGATGTACCGGTAGGTGCATGTCTCTGTAACATGGCAGTATAAACAACACAACATGTGTGCAATTGACAGTGTATAACCTATAAATAACAATGCATGCATTTTACTCAAGACACACAGTATATACAGTATACACAAGGAATAGACAATATACACAGGAAGTTTGCATATGTTATAACCGAATGCAGTCACAGTAATCACAGATGTGTTAACCACAACCCGAAGGTGATCATTTTTACAATTATACTAAAAGGCCTAAAAAGTGTCAACTATCAATCGTACGACGGAAGGCGTGCAGTAGGTTTTTCAGCAAGGCTCTGGATATGTCGATAATTGAGGCTTTAGAAATGAATGTATCTCATGATACGGTGGGCTTTAGGGTTAATTCATCTCTGTGTGATATGTTCCTGTGCATGTGTTGATTTGTGTAATGTGTTTGGTTGTCTCAGGGTGATGTTGTTCACTGGCTGGCCTGCTCTCTGTATGCTGCCTGTAGGAAGAGCTCCATCCCCACTGTGGGACGGGGTTTGATGGAGGGCAACGGCGTTTCCCTTACAAGGATCCTGCGCTCGGCGAAGCTCAGGTAAGGATCTCGAACAGACATGGACAGATACCTGTGGGATGGGCGTCTTCTCCTGTAATTTCAGTTTATTTAATGGAAAAGTTTGAGTAAGAAGAGAAACAATGGCTAGAGCATTTATTTTATGCATTCAAGGATTTTCATTTGTAGTAAATGGAGGTGTTTGTATTAAAATGTGAGTGTTGTTATGCTCTTTTTTTTTTTTCTTTTCCCCTCTAGTTTGATTCAGTTCTTCAGCAAGATGAAGAAATGGTCAGACATGTCGAACCTCTCTCAGGATTTCCGCAGCCGCATAGGTCGACTAGAGCGCAATTTCGAAGTGTCGACAGTGATTTTTCGTAAATTTGAGCCAATATTTCTGGACATGTTTCAAAATCCTCAGGGTGAACCTCCCCGGCTGCCTAGAAGCCGCAAGCACCGGTAAATCTGCATGCCTTTTCTCTCCTTTCTTAGCTCCATAAAGCCCCGACTGGTTGAGGGCTGCAGTGATGGTTGACTTTCTACAACTTTCTCCCATCTCCCGACTGCATCTCTGGCGCTCAGCCACAGTGATCTTTGGGTTCTTCTTTACCTCTCTCACCAAGGCTCTTCTCCCCCGATAGCTCAGTTTGGCCGGACGGCCAGCTCTAGGAAGGGTTCTGGACTCAAATGAAGGTGCAGGACCATCTCAAGGATGATCAGAAGAAATGGACAGCACCTGAGTTAAATATATGAGTGTCACAGCAAAGGGTCTGAATACTTAGGACCATGTGCTATTTCAGTTTTTCTTTTTTAATAAATCTGCAAAAATGTCAACAATTCTGTGTTTTTCTGTCAATATGGGCTGCTGTGTGTACATTAATGAGGGAAAAAAATTAACTTAAATGATTTTAGCAAATGGCTGCAATATAACAGAGTGACAAATTTAAGGGGGTCTGAATACTTTCCGTACCCACTGAGTGTATGTGTGTATGTATGTATATATATATATATATATATTTATTTTTATTTTTTAATTTTTCTTTCTTTCTTTTGTAGGCGTCTTCCATGCCACATCAGTGACGTCTTCAAGTTCTGTTGGACTCTCTTTGTGTATACAAAAGGTAATTAGACTGAAAGAAGCCTTCCCTGTTTAAACTTTAGACCGTCAGTATGGTTTAGATAAGCCTACGTACACAGTCTGTGTCATATAATGCTATTAACTACGTCAAATAAAAAATCTGTTAATTATTTCACAGCCATAATGAATGAATAAATTGTGAAGGTTTACCATCAAACAAAAGTAAAAACCGTGTATTTTTAAAAGTTTGGGATTGGTAAGATTATTAAATGTTTTTGAAGGATTTTTCAATAATGATGACTCAACTTTTGAACAGTAGTGTATTTTTACATATGTGCATCTCTAATTCTGAATGATTTGGCAAAAGTTTGTGGTTGACTTATCTTAAGCGTTCTGAATGCTAAAGTAAACTCATGACACGATGTCTGCTTTATTTCAGGTAATTTCCGTATGATTGGAGATGACCTGGTCAACTCGTATCACCTCCTGCTCTGCTGTCTGGACCTGGTGTTTTGCAACGCTCTCATGTGTTCCAACAAGAAAGATCTCATCAATCAATACTTCAGAGGTAAAACTCCCTTCGTCTCGCTGTGAGAGAATGTTTCCTTGATTAATTGTTGATTTTCTGTTTACAAGTCATTATCCTTGAGAAGGCAGACAGAGTTACAAGTGAGTCCATTGATTGCATTAGAGGAGTTACTTGCAAGGCAGTGCACTTAGTTTTGGAATATTGACTGAATATGTGAAGTTGTAGTTAATTTAAAACACTACAACTTATATCATATACCTATGAAATAATTTGAGATCTGTTTTCTTTCCCATATTATCTGTTGAAACAGGAACATGGGTCAGGCCTCAGAACATTACAGTTATATCACAATAACACGTTTTCAGTCTACCTGTTGTAATCAGCGTTTAGGAGTATATTAGTATACAGATGCTGCGATTTAGGACTGAAATATGAACTGAAAACTTTTTTCATTGAAAAAGATTAATTTATGATCAGATTAGTAGGTTGCTTTGTTGTAAATGCTTCATTTATAGTCTTTTGCTCACCTCTCTTTAGGACTGCCGAAGGATACAGAAAGCCTGGAAGAAATGCCCTGTGTCATTGACAAGTTGTGTGAGCTGCATGATGGGTTGGTGGTGGAAGCCAAAGGCATAAAGGAGCACTACTTCAAACCCTACATAAAGACACTGTTTGAGAAAAAAGTGAGGAACACACACTTTTACAACCAATCTACACTGCAAGAACATCATGATTGTTTACAGCTTGGTCATGCTTGCCATATTCTACAAAATATTCCCTTATTTTTCTCAGATATTAAAAGGTGATGCTGAGACACTGACTGAATTACTGGATACCCCAAATTTCCAAGACAACAAGTAAGTATATGCCTTGAAATTTCTTTATATATTTTTTTGTTCTTTTTGGCATTTCCATCAATTTTGCATTTAAATAAAAAGATTAAAGCATAAAATGAAATGTTTTATTTCAATAAGTACTTGTATGTGAATATAGTTTTTTCCCCCCAGTAAATCCATAAATCGTGAGTATGAGGAATATGTTTTGACTGTGGGGGATTTTGATGAGCGAGTGTTTTTGGGGGCCGACGCAGACGAGGAGATCGGCACACCTCGCAAGGCCACCGCTGAGCCTCCATCAGGTCAACTATCCGCCCGCATGCAGGTGGAGAACAACCTTCAGCAGCACTTTGAGAAGGTACTGAAGATTTCTTTCACTGCTGCCACATTAAATTAACATTCATCATGCTAATTGTAGGGATGCAGCGATTAACCGGTTTCACAATTAACCACGCTTTAAAATGTCTGCTACACCGAGTGTTTCTGTTGCACAGAACGGAACAGTTGCAACGTGCGCAAAACGAAAACAAAGTTACACTAGCGGTGCACCAGCTTAAAATGCTGTGCTTAATAGAGACACGGAGGCGACTACACACACTAGATGAACTATTACAGAGGAACCAAACAGCGATCCTTTATTTCCACAAGAGAAATGCCTGAAGTCGATAGTGTGGGACCATTTTGGGTACACCAAGAATGACCAGGGTGTCATTTAAATATTGCCGTAAAAACTGCTACTAAAGAGTGAATACACAGCTTTAAACTATTTTAATGCACGACGTGAAGGCAAGACTGACGTGAAGCTACGGCTTGTTAACTCAGCATTCTGCCCACTTCAGATCAGACAGATGAAATAGTGTAGTAAGATCACATTTATTTGAATTAATTAATTATAACATTTAGCTACTTGAATTAATTATTCGATCGAGAGAGGTGTGTGTGTGTGTGAACCTGCGTCAGCGCGTCTCTCTACAAACATGCGAGTTCAGTTACCCTCTCCTTGCTGATGAATATGTAGCAATTCAGTATCTAAGCTATTTTATTAATAAAAGTCACGGGGCAGGGTTCACAACAAGTTTGTGTCCTCGTGAATGTTTATATGTGTGCGCAGCGCGATCTCCGATCTCACAAACCAAAATAATAGACATGATTTTCAAAGGCCACATGTAAAATCATATGAATTATTATAAAAATTATTAAAATGAATACGTATGGATGACAGTTGATTACAATGATAGTTCAGTTTATTCCCCTCATTATTAATGGTTTCCCCTGTGGGATAAATAGTTAATTGTCCTATATTTATAATACTTATTAACATTGTTATCTATAATCCCTTTTATAGTATTATGCATAAGTCAAAAACCAACAAGATTTTTTTTTTCCCACCATGTATCCAGTTTTCTGCCTCGGGTCCAAAAGAAATGTAAAGAATGTACAAACTGAAAACACAATACTTTTGTGATCTATTTTCATTAGTTATTTTCAAAATGGAAATACTGACATGGATGTTTACAGAGCAGAGGTCACCTTTTTAATTCCAACTGGAAAGATGGACTTTTGTTTGTCATTATTATTATTATTATTATTTTGTTCTGTATTATTGGTTACGGTGTTATTTCTCTTTCTAAAGGCATCAATAAATAACACTTTATTATCTAAAGAGTGTCCATGTGATTTTATACATAATTTTGTGAAATGAATAAATGCATAATAATCGTCATAATCGTGAAACTGTGATTATTCCTCAGACAATAATCGTACCAACAAAATCAATAATCGTTGCATCCCTAGCTAATTGTCGATCTTAGCCTGAAATATTACTCCAGTCTTCAGTGTCAAATGATCCTTCAGAATATGCTAATTGCTACTGAAGAAAAATGTATTATCATCAATGTTGAAAACTGTCATGCAGCTTAGTATTTCTGTGGAAACCATGATAACATTTTCAGAATTCTTTGAATTTAATGTGTCCTTGCTGAATAAAAGTATTCTTTAAAAAAAGTCTTACTGACTCCAAACGTTTGCCTCATCCTGCTGTGTTTTTGCACAGACGCGTTCCCTTGCTCCCTCTACGCCTCTAACGGGTCGACGGTATCTGAAGGAGAAAGAGGTGCTGGTCACCCCCGTTTCCTCAGCTACCCAAAGTGTGAGTCGACTGCAGAGCATGGTGTCCGGCCTCCGAAATGCTCCAAGCGATGCTCTGGTCCACGTCTTTAAGTAAGTATCTGCCAAAATCTAACCACCCGCAAATAGAAATTAGACATGATATGCATGTGCATCCAAGCATGCATGATGTCCCTCAGTCTTCAGTCTGTTTTCTTAGAGTTTTTAAGAATTTTATTTTCACCATGTTTTTATAGTTCCTGCTCTCGAAATCCCACTGAATCCATTCTGAACCGAGTGAAGACCATGGGAGAGAGGTTTAAACAGGCCTACACCAAACCCACAGATGACCTGCCAGGAGCACATATGGGTCAGATATACTGCACATCAAAAAATAAAAAGATGTTTAATTTAGGCGACTGTTATGGAAGCCTCATATTTCATCTTGTAAGTAAGTGCTGGTTCTTGTGTGTAGATTTTGCAGAGAATCGTCTGAAGCTGGCGGAGATCTTGTACTTTAAGATCCTGGAGAATATAATGACTCAAGAGATGAAGAGATTACAAGGGAAAGACATGGCGGTAAGTCAGTGTAACTGCTAAACTTGATAAATGCACTAGTAAAAACCATTCGCCCTGATGCCAAATAATGTGTATTTATCACCAAACCGAAAGAGGAAAATGGATTTTTGCCAGATGTTATTTTTGTGTTTTATATCTACAGCTCTTACTTTCTCCTTTTTGTCTTGCCTCTTCCTCTCTTCTCCTGATCTCTATCAGGTCCTGTTGGAGCAGGAGGTGCTCCATTGCTCCCTGTTGGCGTGCTGTCTGGAGGTGGTGCTTTTTGCGTACAGCTCTCAAAGAACATTCCCCTGGATACTAGAAATCTTTAAGATCCCACCATTCTACTTTTACAAGGTACAGAACGGTGTACTATTGCATCACGTTGCAGTAGATTTTGATGTCTATAGAAAAAAATCACAACAAACTGTTAAGTCCTTTAAAGAAAACAGTTTATTTTGAAGTACTAAAGCAAATGTACATGCGTTTGTGTAGGTGATTGAGGTGTTCATCCGCTCCGAGGAGGGTTTGTCCCGAGACATGGTGAAGCATTTGAACAGTATAGAGGAGCAGGTGCTGGAAAGCAAAGCCTGGACCAGAGACTCGGCCCTGTGGACAGCACTCAATAACGCTAATAATAAAGTCGCCACTGTAGAAGAGGTACATACATACACGCACACACTAGGGATGCAACGATTATAGATTTTGTTGGTACGATTATTGTCTGAGGAGTAATCACGGTTTTACGATTATGACGATTATTATGCATTTATTCATTTCACAACATTACTAATGTATAAAATGACATGAACACTCTTTAGATATTAAAGTGTTATTTATTGCTGGCTTTTGAAACAGAAATAACACCGTAACCAACAATACAGCACAAAATAATAATAAACAAAAGACAAACAAAAGTCCATCTCTCCCATTGGAATTAAAAAAGGTGACCTCTGCTCTGTAAACATCCATGACAGTATTCCTCTTTTGAAAATAACAAATGGAAATAGATCGCAAAAGTATTTAATGTTTTCAGTTTGTACATTCTTTACATTTCTTTTGGACCTGGGGTAGAGAATTTGGAAACATGGTGAAAAAAAAATATTTTTGGTTTTTACTTCTGAATAATACTACAACACGGATAGTAAATAACAAAGTTAATGAAGTAGCCTATTATTAATATACGACTAATATTAACTTTATTTGTCCCACAGGGGAAACTGTTACTAATGATGGAAATAAACTGAAATATTGTAATCAACTGTCATCTATACGTAGCCTATTCATTTTAATAATCTTTATAATAATTCATATGATTTTACATGTGGCCTGAGAAAATCATGTGTATTATTTTGGTTTGTGAGATCGGAGATCGCGCTGCGCACGTGTACAAACATTCAGGAGGACACAAACTTCTTGAGAATGCTGCCTCGTGACTTTTATTAATAAAATAAATTAAGTAGCCTACTGGAGAGACGCACAGACGCAGGTAGGCTAATTCACACAGGCAACTGTCATCTCTCTCTCTCTCTCTCTCGAATAATTAATTAATGTAGCTAAATTTTATAATTAATTCAAATAAATGTGATCTTATCGTACTATTTCATCTCTTTCTGATCTGAAGCGGGCAGAATGCGGAGCTAACGAGCTGT